ACTTTCGACCTTTTGACTTTCGACCTTTTGACTTTCGACCTTTTGACACCTATTCATATTAGCTAGTCGACAGCATTAGATAGTGGAATTCTATTCTCATGTTATTTTACTTCTTTTCTGCATTGAAAGACAAAAAAGACTCTTAAAACATTCAACTTAACACTTGAAAGTATAGAAGTTCTAATGTAATATAGTAAAATCGGTTAAGACTCGGACATCATTCATTCTACACATTCTACCGTTAATGAACTGAGTGCCGAACTGATTAATAAAATGAAATTAATCGTAGTACATATATAGAGTCTTAATACCTAATTCTGCCAGAAAAAAAACATCTTTAGTATTTTGCAAATAACTCGGGCTATACATATTGTAGAAAAGTAATTTTTTCTTTCCAGAACAGAGCAAACATTTCTCTATCGATTGGTATAAAATTAATTAAAAAAGAACTAATTAATCACTCAGGAGAACCGTAACAATAAAGAGGGAATCAAATTTTCATAAATTTTTGTGTGATTTTAATTCTGCCGTTTGTATAGAAAATTGCAACATTTTTCAGCAAAAGCTCATTTTTTTTAATGAAACTCATCGAATTTGGCGATAAAAAACATAACACTCGGTTCGTCTTGAGACGAGCTATCGATTGATATGTTTTTTTGAAAAAAATTTGAGTTCATCTTGTATTTGTTTTTTTGTCAAAAGTAAAAGTAGGTTGCTGACAGAGCTATTTTCTGTTCCTAATTCTGCCAATGCCATAAAAAATGCATAATGCTGTCAAAGATGAGATAAATAAATAGCATATTCGAAATCAGAGTAAAAAACTACATCAGATCAAATATTTTCTAGAAAAAGAAAATTTTGTCAAAAATCAACCTGTGTTCTACCTCAATACTTTTTCAAAAATTTTGACTGTGGTCCTCCGTAGAGGTTGATTTTTCGCAAAAAAAACATTTTTTCTAAAAAATGCCTGATCTAATGTAGTTTTTTATTCTGATTTAGAATATGCTATTTATTTATCTCATATTTGCCAGCATTGTGCATTTTTTATGGCATTGGCAGAATTAGGAACAGAAAATAGCTCTGTCAGCAACTTATTTTTACTTTTGACAAGAAAAAAAAATACAAGATGAACTCAACTTTTTTTGAAAAATATATCAGTCGATAGCCCGTCCCGAGATGGATCGAGTGTTAGGTTTTTTATCACCAAATTCGATGAGTTTCATTTTCAAAAATGAGCTTTTGCTGAAAAATGTTGCAATTTTCTATACAAACGGCAGAATTAAAATCATACAAAAATTTATGAAAATTTGATTCCCTCTCTATTGTTACGGTTCTCCTTAGTGACTAATTAGTTCTTTTTTAATTAATTTTATACCAATCGATAGAGAAATGTTTGCTCTATTCTGGAAAGAAAAAATTACTTTTCTACGATATATATAGCTCAAGTTATTTGCAAAATACTAAAGATGTTTTTTTTCTGGTAGAATTAGGTATTAGAACTCTACAAATTATTTGCATAGTTTTCGTTTTCTTTTCTTTTCATAATAATTATAACCATACTACGATGGTTGATATATTTGCGGATCCATCTTTGGATGTTAACTATTGGGCTCGTTTCCTCATGCAAGTTTTTATTATTCTTGTCCTCGTCCGACTCATGGGATGGTTACTTGCATTAATCAAACAGCCATCAGTAAGTGAAGAGCATATATAGTATGTTAATGGTGACGATGTCTAATTTGATGTAGGTGATCAGTGAGATTATTGCTGGCGTAATTGTTGGTCCTTCAGTACTAGGAAATATCGAATTTTGGTCAACACATATATTTCCTTTATCATCATGGAACTACTTTACATTAGTCGGCAATATTGGTCTTATTTTATTTATGTTCAATATGGGTTTACAACTTGAACGAAAAGAACTTCAAAATCAATGGAAATCTTCTCTTCCAATATCGATTTCTACTATTGTCATACCATATGCTACTGGAGCTGCATTTGGTTTCTATTTGTATGATATTAACAATCAAAATGGATTTACACCACCTGATCGAGTTTCATTCATTCTATTTACAGCATCGAGTATGTCATTTACTGCTTTTCCTGTTCTTGCATCTATTCTTTCATCAACAAAACTCATATCGACACAGGTTGGTACTTTAACACTTAGTTGTGCGGCCATGAACGACATTATGGGTTGGTGTTCATTAGCTATTGCTGGTGCATTTGCCACAGGATCAGAGATTGTTGGTTTATGGTAAGTACAATATGTAGATGTACAAACTTATTGTTTTTCAATCTCATAAAGTGAAGTTCAGTAAAACAATGAACAAGAATTAAGCATTACATTTTTATCTACTTGTAGGAAAATTTTGATTGCGATCGGCTATGTTATCTTTATGTTTACCATTGTTCGATGGTTAGTTTTGTATGCATATTCATTCCTTGTTAAACGTGATGATGCAATGAATCATACATTTCTTGTTGGTATCTTTCTTCTTCTTCTTGGTTCATCTTTCTTTTGTGATATACTTGGTATTCATTCATTTTTTGGTGCGTTCATTGTTGGTGTTTTATGTCCTAAATCAGGTCAATTTAATACTACATTATATCCAAAATTGGAATTAGTCACTGTTGAATTATTATTACCACTATTTTTTGCTGCTAATGGTATGCGAACAAATTTGGGTTCATTAAATGATAAGTTTCATGTTGCCATTACTGCACTCATTTCTGTTATTGCTGCTTTGACTAAATTTTTGCCTGGATGTTTTGTAACAAAAATCGTTACTCGACGTCCATGGAAATTTTCAGCCAGTATTGGGATATTAATGAATACACGTGGTCTAGTCGAACTGATTGCATTAAATATTGGTGTTCAACTTAAAATTCTTTCACCACGTCTATTTACTATGTTTATTATAATGGCACTTGTTAATACATTTATGACATGCCCATTACTTTGGCTTGTTTATCTTAGAAAATACAAATCTACAACGCTTTATAATAATGAAACAAATAATAATGAAGAAATAGTCACCGATGAAAGGGTCCCACTAATTACATCAGTGCCATCAATTGGGATGCAGTCTTGAAAGAAATTATGAATAGTGATTTGCATTTTCTTTTTTTCCTAGATCTATTAGTGTATGTTTGTCAACTTAGGGCATACCAAAAGAACTGGCGGAAGTTCGGAAATTCCTTATAAAAAGCTTTAAGAAGCATTCTTTCTATATACTCTGGTAGAGAAAAAGATACTCTATTTTTCTATGTTATTTGATAATACATCAACTAATATCATAATGAATTTTCGAAAAAATCTGTTTCGTTTTTATACGTGCTGGTTGTATTAAGACTAATTCTAAAACATATGAGTGAGTATTTTTTGAATGACTTTTATGGGTGGATGTAGATGTGGGGGTGGGTGGGTGTGGGTGTGGGTGTGAAAGAAGACTAAAACAACACCCATACCCACACCCACATCCTCAAGTTAGCGTCATAATGTGACATCTGTTGACGCTAACAAGTAATAAAGCAGACAAGCAAAATTGATATTTAGAACTTTCGAAAAAAGAAAAAGAAAAAGAAATACGCAATTATTTTAATGATTTAATAAAAATGATAAACTCTAATCAACAAAACAAATATAGTTATTTATTTTATCAGTTTCATATTTAATATCAATGTTTTATTAAGACATCTCAGGATCGGACACGTTCATTTAATCATCATTGTCGACATCATCATCTTTCCAAGGTACATTATAATTTATGGCTTTCTCTCTTACAGTCAAATTTTTGGATTGTCGTAAACATCGAAGAATATTTTGACATTTTTCACGATCAATAGAAGCTTGGTTAAATACATAATCCTGAAGAAAATCAAGAACGAATAATGGTCGATTTTTTTCCATAATAAACCATTGAGCTAAATCAAATTTTTCATCAACACTTAAATGTTTAATAAAATGGCAATAATCATCCTTTTGAAGAAAACTTGATAGTTCTATTAATATTCTTTCAAAATAAACTTCAGGTAAATTATCTTGAAGCATTTTTAATCCATCTTCAATATCTTCTTTATTTTGAGCTATTTTCATCAATAATTTTCCAATAAGAGGAGTCAATACTTTATCAAATTGAAGAAAAATTGGAATAAGTGAACGAAAATGAATTTTTTTCTCATTATTAAATTCATTAATCTTAAACATAAGATTTGTTAGTATAGTTTGAATACGACGATAAACTGGTAAATCATGTTGATTATTAATAGCATTTTGTTTTGTATCGATATCATCTCTGTATGACATAATTTTTGTAATAATATCAATAATTATATCTAAGGAAGATCTATTCAGAAAAAAAATAAAATAATTATTCTCGTTATTTGTTTTTTTGGTTCAACTTACATTTTGTTTTGTTTATAAAATAAAATAATTTTTTGAAAAGCATTTGACCATAAAACATTACCATCTTTATCAAATCGAATACATAAATTTTGAGCTTTGCTAATTAATTCATTTGTATGACAATAATCATATTCAAGATACGACCAAGCATACACACGTGCTTCTAATAATGTTGGATGATCTAATATTTTAAATTGTATTTGATTAACAAATGTTTCAAATAAATTTTTCAATGAATATCTCAATTTTGATAATGGCCAACGAGAATCTGCTCGATAACTAGCAAATAAAGTTTGTACTACGGGAAAATATTCATCATATGCAGCTTGTTCAAGAATATTCCAAATTATATCGGAATGTGATTTACCAATAAAATGAAGTAGAATTAAAATAAGACATGCACGAATATCTTGATGAGGATGTCTATCCCATAAAGGTTTTATAACAGTTATTATTAAACTTGAATCATATACATATTGAATTAATAAACGAAGAACTTCTTTATTTGCTGTTATACCTAAATAAACAAATATATCTTATAATAAATTAATTATTATTTAATTTACCAAATTTTTGAAATTGTTCATTACGAATAAATTCAAGATAAGATTTTAAGAAAATTTCATCACTTATTTTAATTGAAATGCTTAACATAGCATTACTAATAAATTTTGCATTTGATGCATTTAATTTTGTTTTTAATAGATCAAAATGTTTTAGGAAATTTTCTGGAGTTAAATCAAACGTAGCTGGTAGACATAGAATTATATCATCAAGTGGATGAATAATAGCAATGCGACTTCGTGGACGAGAGTTTTCATCAGAAGATTTTATTACTAATTGAGAATCTTGGTTTTTTTGAAGCCATTCAAGGGTTTCGTTATATGTTGATGATAGAGAACGAAGAATACGTAATGATTTTAATTTATCTAAATTAGATACGTCTTTATCCTAGAACAAAAACAAAAGCAGACAATTGAAATTTTTTGTTTTATTAAATTGAATCACTCGTAAATAATCGTTTAGAATAATATGAGTTATATGTTGTTGTTGTTTTCCAGTTAATAGATAATAACAACTACTCAATATATTAATATATAATCCAGGTAGTTTAAGATTTTTTGTTTTAGAACTTAACACTGTTGAAAGTTTACATTGTTCATTTGTTAATTTATCTATAGTAAGACATTTATTATCTTGAATTAATTCATCTATTAATTGTTTATATTTTTGAGAATGTAAAGCAATTCGTTGAACATTTGTATTAATAAAAAATATTTTATCAATTTTATTAATTAATTGGTTAACTCGTTCGAATCGAGTTGATTTATTTTTTAAATAAAATGAAATCATCGAAGAATGTTCATCAATTTGAAATGATGATTGAAGTTTTGTTGATGACAAAAGAGATTGAGTGAAAAATGTATTAATAAATGAATCTATTTGTGGTAAATGCCAAGCTTCATCTATATATGATTCCAATGAATTACTTAATTCATCTAACATTGTTTTTGAAATAAGTATTGGAAATAAATCTGTGATGAGAATATCAGCCAATATAGAACATGCTTCTGGATATGATTTACTTAGTGTTGTTCCATCAGGTCTAATATTATCACTCGTTGAAAAACATCTAAATTAAATGAACTTTTATCTGCTCTATTCAATCTTATGAAATACAATATTTTGCAAAAATAATTCACCACTGTTTTTTCCTGCTACAAGATTACTTTCGATAGCCTTTCATACATTCAAGTAATAGTATATTTAGTTGTCTATTAGGAATCTGCATGATGCAGTTTTGAAACAAGTTGTTCATTAATTAGTCTAAGCTTTTAAGTTTGATTATGCCAAAAGCAGCTTCACCAAATCCAATGGAAAAAGTTCATTTGCCAAATTCAAAATGAATTTGTCATTTATTAAATGATGAGAACAGAAAATTTCTGATAGCAATATTAATATATTTGTTTCATCTATGACTAATATTGTTGAGGTCGGAATTCGAGATTTTCTAACCTTTTGTTGAAAATTACGACTTCAGATATTTTCGCAATATCTTTTTCATCACTCATTTTCATCACTCATTTTCAAACTCAATTTCTTGAGGCAACATACAGCTTCCAATCAACATGAAATACCTTAGCTCTTTCTATTATATGTGAGGTCTGAACGGACTGTTTTGCTATTCTTCTTCTTTTTATCCGGCGTATCGTTTTTGCTTCATTTTTTTTTACTTTCATCCTGTAAAAGATAATCTGTCTTTAATATTGCTATTAGAAAGTTTCTGTTATCGGCTTTTAAAAAATGACAAATTCATTCTGAATTCGGCAAATGAACTTTTCCCATTGGGTTTGATGCGACTGCTTTTAGCATAATCAAACTTAAAAGCGTAGGTCAATTAACGAACAACTTGTTTCAAAACTGCATCATGCAGACTCCTAATAGACAACTAAATATACTATTACTTGAATGTATGAAAGACTATCGAAAGTAATCTTGCAGCAGGAAAACACAAGAAAAAAAGTGATGAATTATTTTTTCAAAACCAAAACAAAGTCTAGATACTTTCGTATTTCATTTTATCATCACTCAATACGAGAAGATGCAGCGTGAAAAGCTCTAGACTATATTAAGTATCGCTTGTTTTAGAGTTGTACTTTTTATTTTAAAAATGGACAAAACTCTGAGTTATCAAGTTTAGACATAATGAAAACGAGACTTTTTTTGGTAAAAAGAAAAAAAGAGAATTCGTTTTTTTCTATCTTATCTTTGCATAGTTGTTCTTTGTACATCGTAGAGCTCTTCATTCTTCATCTTCTATTATATTTTTTGTTTTTTCAATACAACATATTATGTGATAATAAAGTGGAATGCAAAAAATCTACATCCATTATGATCTAAATGCTATCAGCTATTTTCATTCTTATCGAAATTTTATTATTATGATATTAGTTTAATAGTGATTAAATAGCATGAAAAGATAGAGCGTCTTTCACTCTATCTTTCCATGGAAAAGAACATTTTTTTCAAGCTGTCTATAAGCAAAAACTGAACATATTCAAAGAATAAAAACTTTAAAATAGGTGAGATTTTGTTTGTTATTTATCAAAAAGAAATATATTTTTGTTTGACTTGTATAAAATAAAATATTCTTACTGTTTAATAATTTTCTTAGCAAATTGTTGAATGATTTCTTTTCGCTGTTTATTTGGATGATGTTCAACAGATCGAAGTAAAAATATTCCATAATTTAGAATAATTTTTAAAGTATATGATGATTGTTGTAAATGATTAATAGCAATATCAATAATAGTTTGAATTGAATTAATATTATTTGGTAGATATTCTAAATTAAATCGCATATTATATGAACTTAATTTACTTAAGAAACTTTCAATAACATTTAATTGTTCATTAGTAAATCTTTTTTCAATCCATTCAAGAACTTTTTTAACATATTGTTCATTTGTTGATATAGCACATTCAAGCAAAAGTGGATAATTTATAATACGTTAATTAACATCTGAACCCGTTTTTTTAAATAAGGATAAAAATTTATCAAAAATTTCTTGTGTCATTAGTTGATAACGAAGAAATGATAAACGTTCTTTATCATCAACTGCTCTATCACGTTCAGATTGTGATAATATATGAATAGAAAGTGGTGTTGTAAATTCTGGATACATTTGAAATAGACGAAGATTCTCTTCATTTCCTTCTTTTAATAATTTTTTTAAGAATAATTCTTTTCCAATATGTTTTTCAATAATAATATCAACTAACTATTTTTTTTCTTTTTTTAATCTATAAAGACTTAATGATTGTTCTGAACTTTGTAAAATATATTGAAATATACCAATTGTATAATTTGATGACCATTTACATGTATCATATAAAACAAGAAATAAACGAACATAATTTTCAATAGAAAATGAACGAGATATTTGAAGTGAACTAAAATCATATCCATCATTGCTCCAGCTTGATGCATATTTCATTTGACCTATATAGAATAAATAAATAAATAATTTTATTATGAATAAAATAAAAAACCTGGTTGATTTGAAGCAATAATTGTTATGATTTGAATCATTTCTTCTGGACATTTTTCAAAAAAATATGTACTGTTGCAATGAATAAAATAAGGTAAAAATCTTTTATGTTTCTCTAATTGATTTAAATATTCAATTGTTAAATTCATCAATGTTTTTGGTTCTTTTTTTGAAATTAATTCAAATGTTTTATATTTTTTGTTAAAATAATTTGAAAATTTTTCATAATCATTTTTGTATTCATTTAAATCAGCTTTCATTAAATGAATGATAATAAGAGGTTGATAACGAATTAATTTAAAATAAAATGCTGATGATAAATTAATTTGTTCAAAACGTTTTAATGACCATCGTGATAAAAGATCAATTATTTGATCGTATTTACAATATGGTACTAAATAGGCATCTATATTATATTGATCATGATTATTTGATTCTGTTAAATGACAAGCAAGATCATAAAAAAATGATGAAGATTTTTTTAAGCAATCAATTCGATGAAGATCTTTTAATATTTGATGTTTCAAACTAAATGAAAATTAAAAAAAAACAAATTTAATTATTTTCGAAACAAAAAAACTTACTATCGAGGAAGACTTTTATCATTGATTGATTCAACAATAAAATTTTGAATTTGTTTTGGATCTTTTTGAAGTAGAATCCAACGTTGACCAGCAGAAGCTCGTTGTTGTGTTGGTAATGAATTGTTTTTAAATATGTCGAATAAATTTTTCTCATTCTTAGTTGATAATGATAAAGAAATCAACATCTTTAAATCATCATAAGATGACTTGGATGATTCTTTTAAATGTTTTTCTATATCATTTTTATCAGTCAATGATAAAATATATTTAAGACGATCTTTCCATGAACCATTTATTTTCAATAATTCATATTGATTTATTGAAGACATTTTTCTTAATTGAAAGTCGAAACAACTAACTAAAAACTAAACACATTCTTTTATATATAAGTAAAAGAATTTCTATGGATTACGAAATATTCTTGAAAGACATTTAGGTTGGCACATCGAGATATTGGTCTCGTTCTTTCTTTCTCAAGAGTAACGATGAATCAGTGCTTGCTTTTAGTTTTTTAATCATAGGGATGGCTAGATTCAGTCAGTATTAGAGGGTTGTAACATTATTTTTCTTGGCGGAATACAGGACAAGTTTTGGATTTTACCATGAAAAAACGAAAATTTTTCAAGATTGTGGAGCTGTAACAACCCCTACAATTCCACTGACGGGCTATCCCTGTTTAATCGTTCTCGATATTTTCTTCGAGCCCAAAAAAAAAAAATTATTTTTAATAAGGAGAAATAAATGTCCTTAGAAAAGAACTCGGTACTTTCGAATCAAACAGATGAATAAGCTCATTAAAATATGTTATTTTTCTCTCAAGGTCAATTCATTCTTTTAAAGAACAGTAAATAAAGAAATTTCAGCAGTTTATTGAAATAAAAACAAAACACTTGTCATTATGATAAATGCTTTTTTTGCTATTAGAATTATAAAAAAAGGAATAGATTCATTATATTGGACAGTTAAAAACAGGGTACTTCTACACTATACACACATCCTCATTGTTTCAACATATATGAGAAAGGAAAGGAAAGGAAAAAAAGTAATTGGGTCATTCTCTCTATCGATTGAAATATTGCGATCAAAGATGACGCAAGTTGAAAGTTATAGAAAACAAATAGAGCGATATTGTTCTAATAGAATAAAAAGAAAATGTTTCAAAGGTCAATTAATTAATTAATAAAAACTGTTGATATAAAAGATATGTTGAAGGGAAAAAATTTCATTCAAACATGGATATTGCATTA